ATATATATATGAAATATTTAAAAATCTATTGCATTTTTCTTTTTTTTTCTATTAGCATATTGTATTTTATCCCTCTTTGATTAGCCTCTTAGGCAATCGTAGATGTGATATAAGTTTTTTTTTCTCTTTTTCTTTTTTTTGTTTGAATGTTTATGATGAGATATATGACCTTAATGATTCTTTTGAATAATCATTATTTTGTTATGGTTTTTGACATATATATGAGTTGATATTAAGGCAGCCAAGATCTTCTCTTTCAATCATATGAACTTAGGGGTTCTTCTGGAGGGCCTTTATACCAATATGTTTATGCGACATATATGTGTTCGGTATTACTTAGTTAAAGGCAACCATAATTCTCTTTTTTTACATCTTCTCTTCTTATAATGACAAGTTATTAATTAAATTTTTTTTTTATGATACCTTAATTTTTTTTATAAGGCTATATCATTATTTTATTGTTATATTTGTTAATTTTTCTTATAAATTTATCATTGTACCATTATTAGAAACTCATTTTTTGCATTCCATTTTGGCATATCAAGGATTATGAGTTTCAGAGCTTTTATTACTTTTAGAGTCATGTACTGTAATCTTGTTTTGCAATGTTGTGTATTTACATCAACAAGAGAAAGAAGTTTATGAGAAAAAGTTGTATAAGTATCCAAATAAAAGATGAGGAAAGGACTACAATTTCTTTAAATGGAATGATAAGTGAGGAGTTTACTTCAGATAGTGACCATATACAGAGAGTATCTTTAGGAAAAAAATTTTATTGTAAGTTGGATCGTTTGAATTTTAAAAATAATATTATTTTAATATTACTTGTTGTTATTATATATACATTTTTTAATTATTGTGTTACTCATTGTTAAGTGAGATATAGCTTTTTATGTAATATTTGAATTTATGAATTTTTGAAAATTTCTGAAATTCTTTTCTATTTTTATATATGAGTTAGTAGAAGTTTTAACTTTAAGAAGAGGATAGTGAAGTCCAAAATTATTAAAGGCTATCCAGATATAATAATCCTCACATGGATATATATATATATATATATATCTTCTTCAAATAGCTACAGCTGCTTCAAATAAGTGCTTTAACATAACATCCTCTTACGTCACATTGTACTTATAATAACAGGAATCAAGCACTGTGATTGAAATTTGGAAATTATCCACATATTAGTAAAATAGTAAAGAAAATTTACATGCATCCACACAATTCTTATATGTGTATCTAACACCCAAATTTTGCTACTTACAATTATATTGTCTTGGTATCATAAATTGTGCATGAAAATATGTATTTCACTTTTAAGAAGATAATGAAGATAGTGCTTTTGATGTGTTGTTAAACTCTTAAGTAGTGTACATGTAAATATGAATGCTCAAGTGTAGGTACATAAGCATAACTAACTTGAGGTGAGTTGCTCACCCTCAAATTTTTTCTCCTTTACTAAAATGTTATTTATCTCTATTTGTCCAATTAATTTATAATTTAGCTTAGTTCTCACAAAAGAAGGCCAACTTAAATCTTTATCTATTCATACATTTCTAAATTTTTATATTTTAGTCTATTTATACTTTTGAACTATAAATCCAATGATATTATTTTGCTACTTGTTTGTGTTTTTATTCTAAATATAATTTATTGTGCATTCAAAAATGAATTTCATTAGCAACAAAATTACCTAAGTATTAAATGAGCCTCATGGGCTTGATGGATTGAACCCAATAACCATGCACTCAATGTCTTGACTCCAACAAGGCCAATTATACTCATTAGTCTTACTTTTGGAGGTGAAAAATTGCAAAGCTTTTTATCGCTTAGAATGACATAGCGAGTACACCTGAAGCTCATCAACATTCATTCAAGTTTTTTTGACCAAGCTTACCAATCTGAAATCTTTAGGCAAGCTCCTTCAGTCGAGTTTCACT